TATGCAGGTGCTGCAGACTAGCAAAGCATGCAAACCCACAAAACATAGGGAGGGATCCTTACGCCCAAATGTCTTATAAGAAAAGCGGGATGGATTTCCTTTTAAGCAGGTCTGGCATGCAAACTGTTTACCTTACATTGTTTCATACTGTGCCCTGCTGGACAGTGTTGAAACCACACAAAGCTAACTATTTTCTCTGCTTTCATTTTGTTTTGATTTGAAGAAAAACCTCAATGAAAAAGGACGCAAGGACGGAACTAGATGATGTAACAACTCTTAACAATTCCAGCCAATGTCCTTCACGTAGTCCTTCCCACCAACACATCTATTTCACCTTAGATAGACCCACAGGAGTTGTTACAAATGCACAGTAACTAATTCAAATGTTAACTACACTTTTTAAAAAAACAGCCAAGTTTGAGGATCTGCCAGCACATTATCACCATTCCAAATCTTCTCATCTCAAACAGTTTAAATGAAACAAGACAAACCATCGTCTTACAGTTCTGATAATTAGCAATATCTATTTCTGCGGAAGCAGGGAGGGCTAAGTTTAATGTACTTTTTAATTTTGTTTGTTTAATATGCTCATCATAGTTCTAAGAGATTAATGGAGCCTCTGTACAAGAGACTGCAGTTTTATTTCCCTGTCACTAAAGAATATAACTGGGTCTCTGTATATTTAAATTGTATTCGCAATTTACACGAATCAGACATTATAGAAATGTACAGCCAAAGCTGCTATCGCTAGAGCCGAGATTTTCATTCGGAATGCAATTGTTATTGAGGAAACATTCGGTGGTATTTTGAGATATGGGTAAAAACTTGTAAGTCTATTGTTCACTGCCAACCTTTGTTTGGAAAACCTTATCTACTGACTGACAAATGCTGATGCATCTACTTTTGTGTGTGTGTGTGTGTGTGTGTATACAAAGCAGTCAGACATTTTTTATTGCGAAATGCCGTCTGGAAAAGATGCAAAACAAAACTGCTAAAATGCAGAGGGGGAGAAAAAATGGGGAGGGGCCCCCAAACCCCCCCCCTTCCCTTTGCTTATGGCGTTCAAAGGCATAACACGGAGCACCCTGCAGCAAATGGGAAGCTACACTAATTTTAAAGCCATAAAATGCTATAAAGTGCCCTGCAGGGCAGGACTGCACTGAAGCTAGTTGCACCTAAATAAGACACGGTTCATTTACTTCGCAGCTTAGCCTAATGTAATCATCAGCGGATTTCTAGCCTAGAGTTGTAACAGGCAAGTAGCCGATGCTGCCGAGGCGACACTCCCAGCCATTGGAGGGGATACAGTTAGATTGCTGTTGATTAGAAAATTTTTCAGTTTTGACAAGCACTTAATGAACATAAATCGCACCTTGATTGGTTTCCACTGGGGCCACAGGCACACCTGAAGAAAGAGATTACCTTCTCCTATGAAAAAAAAGACCTCAGGAAAACCCACGGTCATGTCACAAGCCTAGCCAAAAACACGTATTTATAAAACACTACTGGATGTAGCCACGCAATTACACAGAGTGCTCTTAGATGCTCGGTACTATAGTCTGCGGAGAATCTTTTTTTAAAAATAAAATTATGTTTTGCTTTCCAGAAAAAGCTCCCAGCGATCCAGAGGTTTTGCCAAGGCATGGAAATAAGGAGAATTATGTATTGTTTAGCATGGAATCAAGCATTTTCCAAATTTAAAAATTGAAAATCTATGTATCCAACTAATTAGTGATAACCTGATCCTGGACATTTTGAAAACTGCATTAATGCTTAACTCCCAGACATGAAACATAAAATATTTGTTAAGCAATTAAAAAAAAACCCCTCTACTCATTTTTAACGGACACGTCATTTATTTTGAATAGCTAGTATTTTTATTTAAATACCAAGAATCTGGGATTGAGAATGGCATGCACAGATGCTCCCCATATGCGGGGGGGGGCCTTTTAGCTCTCTCCTTCCAATGGCAGCCTTTGACATCCCCCACGGTCAGGTCAGGGCTCCTCTAAAGCAGAGGTTAAAGGTGGCAGGAGCTGTTGCTGGAAGAAAATATTGTACCCCCCCCCACAAATATTTTATGCTTTTCATCAGGCAGGAGCAATTTGGATTCCGTCTTCAATACATGCAAAGTTATATAACGGCCATCATTTTTTGCTGTATCCTTCCCCTAACAGAAAGCCATTGAGTGAGCTAAGGATTCCTAATATTTATATTGCTATAAAATGAGGGAAACGTTCCAAAAGGGTGATGACTAATGGCAAATATCTGAACAAACAGTCTAAATATTTAGTGGAAAATGGCTATTTTGACAGAATAACTTAAAGAGTAACAAACTTTAAGGAACATTCCACTAGCCTTGTTGCTTGTCATGATTTTTTTTTTGCCTGACTTAAGAGCAATGCTTTTGTTCACTCCCCCCCTATTTAAAGGGGAGAATAAAAAAGCAATTATAACATTTATACTTTCAAGTTGGCAGGTTGTACATGAAACTCTACAGCCATGTGGTTCTACACCTCACTGCACGACTAAGTTTAAAAAAAATCTATGCTCAGTATATAATATGTGAGAAGAAAACAATGCTGGCAGACTATTAATATTTCTACCAGTAGCACTAGGAATTTTTACAACACAAAGTATACTTGAATTTGTTGGATCATCTTGTTCCTAATTCTAGCAAGTTCCACATTTGGAGCAGTTCCGTAGTTTAGGATTTACATGAATGAGCTTGACATCTTCTTGCAGGGGGAAACTTGACTGTATGGTCCATTCCTTTATTTTGCTGTTGTTCAGTCGCACAGTCAACTCCGACTCTTCGCGACCCCATGGACCAGATCACGGCAGGCCTTCCTGTCTTCCGCAGTCCTCTGAAGTTTGCTCAATTTCATGTTCATTGCATCCATTCCTTTATACAAGTATTTTATTTATTTTTGACATTTTTACCCCGCCCTCCCCACGAACGGACTCAGGACGGCTTACAAGGGGCAGAGCCCACGTAAAACATAATAAAAGCAAAAGAATTTGCCATTCTTCCCAACCTTCTACTGAAGAGGTACTAAGAAAGGTCAACGTGTGGACCGAATTTTGTAAAACAGCATGCTTCCTTCCCAACTCTCTAAAAGTCCTGCTTCGAATAGATATCTTTTTTTAAAAAACAACGTATTTTGAAATAAAGCTCTGATTAAATCAGAGCAAATAACTAAAAATAAACCAATGATTAAAAATGCATATCATTTTGGAAGAATTAGTGGGAGGCACGATGGCTCAGCATCACAATTTCAGTTCTGCTGACAAGGACCTTTCTCCAACGGAGCTGCTTATCTATAGGAGGGAAAACTCCTGCTTGGTAAGAGTTGTTTTCGTTTATTAATGGCATTTCCGCATGAAGAGTTTGTCTGCCATTTTTAACTGGAAGTCTTTGCCAATGGCTAATGCAAAAAAGACGGAATGCGTTCTGCACTGGATCCAGAACCACAACAGCAACCGAATCAGGACTGCTCTTACTGTGACAACGCCAGACAATAAATCATCTTCCAATTGATACTGCCGAAAAGCATTGTTTATCCAGTGTTGATCTGCCAGGCTTCAATGGAGTTAAGCTCTCTTTAATAAGTTGTTTGTTATCATCATTTGCTTAATTTATACCCAGCCTTTCTCCCCTATGGGAACCCAAAGCAGCCTACATCATCCTCTCCTTCATTTTATCCTCACTACAACCACGTGGTGGGTTAGGCCGAGAGTGCATGACTGGCCCAAGCTCCTCGGCTATCTTCCATGGCAGAGTGGGGATTCGAACTTGGGTCTCCCAGATCCGATCCCTATACTCTAACCACTACACCAAACTAACTTGCTGGCCTTGTTGATAGCAGGCAGGTTGCCACTGTTGCTCGGAGTGCCTTCTTTCAGTTCTATCGAGTTCATAAGCTGTCCCTTTCTCTGGACTCTGCAGGCAAGGCTATGCTGAGCTACACTACAGTTACCTTCTGATAAGATTTCTGTAATGTACGGTACATGGGGCTGCCACAAGTACAGATTCCGTAGGTACAGAATGCAGCAGGAACGTGGGGTCGGCCACTTGAAACCTATCACTCCAGCACTGTATCAACTACACTGGTTGCCTATTTGCTTCTGGGCCCAGTTCCAAGTGTTGGTTATTATGTTTAAAACTCTCCATGGCCTTCCACCCTCACACTTATCAAACTGCATACCCCCGTGGGCTGGCTACATTCCTCAGCCTTGGTGCCCTCCCTTACGCTTGTCCTTACAGCAACAGACAGGTCACAGGCTTGTTCCATAGCAAATCCAGTCCTCTGGAACGGCCTACAAGAGTGAGTGCACTACATTAAGGAAGGTGTGGAGGACAGTTTTATTCCAGAATGCATTTGGTGGAGAGCAAACCTTTTTTTTTGGCAGATTTGGCTGCGTTCTTTATAATTCTGTGCATTTTAAAATCTTGTTACTTGGACTATTACATTTTGTGTTCTTGCCTTGAGTCTGAAGAGATAAAGGCGGGATATAAATATTTTATATACCGTACATCCAATAGATGCTGTTGAATGGCCTGTAATCTTTGCATTCTCATTCAGAATAATAACCAGAATGTTTGTTACCAAATCCAGAACTTCATACATTCTTCCCGTCTTTAAAGGAAGGGGGAAAAGGATGGACCTGGCTTCCTGATAAGCCAATTGTGATGCCACTCTTCAGGTGACAGTTTGCACCCACAAATAAGGTAAGAGGCAGCCAAGGCAGAGCTGGACAAGAGAGCCCTCCACTCTAGCATCTGGCACTGTCCTTATCTAGCAAGTGCTCTGGCATAGCTGTGCATCTGACTTCACCTTGTTTTCCTTCCTATGCCATCAACATCGACCCCCCCCCCAGATGGTTAATTAATTAGACTTCTGTTTTGCTGAACTGGATTATGACTCACAACCCCATTTGATATGTTCGTTTATGGCCTCATACCACCATTTGATAAAAGGGAAATGCAGTATACTTACGTGCAAACTCGGATGATAGGTCAGCACACCATTATCACAGAGAGTAACGTATTTCTTTTTCCACTCTTTATTCAATGACTTGCCACTTCGCTTTAGCAGCATACCCTGTTGAAGAAGGGAGGGGAGAGTTAAAGTTGTGTAAGTCACTCACACAAAAGCAGTACATTCTATAAGGTTAAGTTTTGCAGCCAATGCTGCTGCACAGACTAATATGACCTTCCTCCTCTATCCCTTCACATATTATACATGTGAAAATATTCCCCCACCCCCACAACAATAGTTGTTTTCTTAATAACACAAGAGACTTTTTTATAACGCTTCAGCAGAAAAGGTCACATGCTTCAATTATCTCTACAAAAACACAGGACTGCCAAGTCCCTGGGCAGGGTGGTGGTGGTGAGGATTTTAAAAGCCTAGTACTGTCACCTGTGTGACAATGTCACTTCTGGGGAAAACCCAGAAATGATGATGGTTAGCTCTAGGAACCGCTGGAAACTCTATGGTAAAAACTTCAATTTTTCCTGGAAGTGATATCATCACACCTGCAGTGCCCCCCCCCCCAATGTTCCTGCTCCTAGCCTTCTTGCTGGTTGCCGGCCTTAGCTTGGCTATCCTTATAACAAGAACATAAAACAAAGACGCGTCAACATTCCCTGAAACAATTCTGGGACATTACTTGTATTTGCGAAATGGGCATGTGTGGGAGCAGAATGCCTGCCCGCCCACAAAGCCTCCAACAGTCTGAGACCAGGGTACATGAAGAAGCACCTCCTCCCTTCTAGACGTGCCCCGCAGGGTCGACAGAGATCCTGCTGTGTGCATGACTACCTTCTGAGACAGAAAAGGCTTGCTCCTAATATAAGAGTTTAATTACAACTATAGGAGGTTCCTTCATGAAGGTTCAGTTGCCTGCACTTTGGGAGAGCGTTTTGCTAGCAACAGAACAGAAAGTTTTGTACTTGCTTGTCAATAGGAACTGGCTTGCTCCTTATGTAAAAGCTAAATTGCTACAATAGGAAGATAACCACAGAGCAACAAGAGGAAGATAATTAATGAAGAATGAAAACTTCTGAAGAAGTTGTAACACGAAACGGGTCTACAACTAGTTATTCCTCTTGTTTTATATTATATTGTTTTATAATAACGTAAAGATGAGCCCTGTTGAAAATGGTGATATAAGATTATTTTGTTATTGCTATTTCTCTATGTTAATAATAATTGTGAAATTCAGATGTAGTTTTACCAAATAAAGTATAGTAGCCTATATATCACAGTGATTGTTCCTTCCGAGACAAGCAAGGGGGATATCAGAAAAACAGGGCTTCTCTGTTGCGATGCCTAAACCGTAGCATGCCCTCCTCGTACCTGGTGCTCCCCTTCTGCACTTCTAGAGCCAGGTGAAAACAATTATCTCTTTCCAGGCCTTTGGTTGATTTTAGATTTCCTGTGCTGCCGAACAGTTTATCGCAGTTGTTGATGTTTCTATCCTGCCTTGCCTAAATTGGTCCCGGGTTGTTTAAACTCCTATATGCATTCTTACTACATTATTCTCTCTGTGTGTGGGGGTTAACTATGGTCATTGCAGTTTGATCATTTTAGTGTCGATTACTATGTTTTTATTGCTGCTAGTGTGATTTTATAGTTGTGGTTTCAATGATTTTAGTATTTATCAGCTTTGATGCAGGTTTTTTATGTGTCACAGTCAGACAGCACCTAGAATGTAAAGAGATGGTGTACAAATATTGCAGATTCAGATAACTTGTCTCCAAACTGTCCTCATAAACAGCATGTCCTTTCTTCCCAGGAGTCTGGAGTCTTATACCCATTTTAATTGGTTTGGGAGAAACTGGTAGGGGAAAAAGAGCAACCTAATATTTAGCACAAGGGTTCCTCTCAGAGGAACAACATTTTGTTTCAGAGAATATTGCCATGGAAGCCATTCAGGAATCACAGGAGGCAACCAGCCAAGATGCTATAGTTGTATTGCACTTGACCAGAGATGTCTGGCAGAGGAAAAGGGAGGCCAACGAGGGGCCTGACAGGGCTTTCTGCTGTGGACCCCTGTTGTACTCCAATGAGAACCATTAGAACAGAAGCCTCTATTTATATCTGAATATTTTGAAAGAGTGGCTTTACAGCCATACTGCAAAGTCTCGATTATTAATAGAGATGTAAAATTTCTTGAAATTTGAAGCCAAGGGGGGAGAAAATGCCTTTTCCACAGACACCTAAACTGAAATTCTGTGAAAAATTGAAATCTACCCAAATATCCAACACTTACTTTCTGATCAAACCAAAGGTTCATTTCCTGATTTAACAACATAGAATGCATTCTTTATCATTCCATTATCATACAGAATGGTACTATTTGGAATACTTAAATTATAAATATCTTTGCTTTCTGTAAGAAAATTTGAAAGTATACTCAATATTTGAGATAAAATTGCAAACCGTTACCATACCAAAACTTAATTTTTTCCAACTGAACGGTAAGGGGGGGGGAGAGAGTTGTGCATAAAAAACAAATTCTGTAATAAACAAAAAATATTTGGACATACTCTCATACCATCACAATACGTATGACTACTGACATTTTAAGTTAAAATTCATAACACTGATCTCTTAAGTAATATATTTGTTTTAAACACATTATAGCATACTAGGAAAAAGGCCCGTTGTGGAAATAAATACAACGGCCTCTAGAAAGAGGCTCTGGGCAGATGCCCCAGCCTTGGACACTCAGTGTCAATTTGCTGTGGCGACCTCAACAGGGTATAATGACACTGAGTCCACCATTTTCTCCAGAGGAATTGATCTCTGCTATCTAAAGAATAGTTGTAATTTTGAGTGTTCTCCAGCCCTCACCTGGAGATTGGCAACGATGGTTCCCCAGAAGGGAATGGTTGGTTTGGAGGGTGGAGTCTATGGCTTTGTACCTGTCTGAGGTCCCACGCCTCCTGACCCAAAACACATTACTTATACTGCACTGAATATCTTATAGATATCCTTTTGGTTGAGGCCAGTGATGGTTCCTCTACATCTACCTGGCACCCTCCCCTCCCCCTCATGAAAATCTGAATGCTAATCATGCCATCTTGTTAAAGTGTTTAAATACTTATGCTGAATGTTTTAGTATGGAATTTTTGTATTTTAAACTGGTTTTAAAATTTGTATTGGATTTTATGTTGTTGTAAACTGCCCTGAGCCCCACGTAAGCAGGGAAGGGCGGTTAAGAAATCAAAATAAATAAATAAATACATTTAGTCTCTGAATCAATGCCAACTGAGTGCATTGGTGTAGTGTTGAACACTACACTGACCTACGCCAGTTTTCCACTGGTCAGATTCATGGGGTACATTGGAATCCTAAGACATGAGCTGCCCTGACCTGGATACCCCAGATCTCATAAACTAAGCAGTGTTGGCCCTGCTTAGTATTGGGATGGGAGGCACCAAGGAAATCCAGGGTCACTACACCCAGGGCTCTTTCTGTAGCAGGAACTCATTTGCATATTAAGTGACACACCCCTAATGTAGCCAATCCTCGAAGAGCTTACAGTAGCCCCTGTAAGAACAGCTCTGTAAGCTCTTCGAGGATTGGCTACATTAGGGGTGTGTGGCCTAATATGCAAAGGAGTTCCTGCTACAAAAAGAGCCCTGATTTACGGTTGCAGGCAACAGCAGGCCACCTCTGAACGTCTCTTGCCTTGAAAACCCTACTGGATTGTCTGTGACTTGATGGGAAGAAGAAGGAGGAGGAGGAGGAGGAGGATGACATGAGCCAGTGTCTTACATTTATAAAACTGGATGTTTACAGAAGCTGTGATCTTGGGACAGCCAATGAAAAGGACTGTTTCTTGCACAAAGATTGAATGGACTGACATGTAGTTTTTACACACACCTATAATCAGAAACACAAACCTGTTTATTTAGATATTTCTACCCTGCCTTTCTCCCCAGTGGGTCCCACAGGGCCGTCTCCCTGTCCCGATTTTATCCTCAGAGCCCTATGAGCTAAGCTAGGTTGACAGAGTGACTGGCCCAAGGTCAACCAATAAGTTTCCATGGCATAGTGGGGATTCAAATCGGGGTCTCCTAAATCCTGGTGTGATACTCTAACCACTACACCATGCTGGCTCTCTAGCAGCCATACATCAGTCAACTATTCAAAATAGTTCACATACATTACTTTGTATCATCCCCTTAAAGACAGGGAGTCAGGTTTCGGGGGGGGGGGTTGCAGGAGGAAGAGATGATGCTGGAAAGTCCGTAAGCCGTTCTCTCCAAAACATTATTTCAGTGCTCATTTATAACAGCTTTGTAAGGTAGGCTAGCACAAATTTACTAAAGTGTGGATGCAGAATACCATGTCAAATCACCTGCTAAAATTCCATTGTTTCCATCAACGAAGTTCTACAGCAGATGCCCAGTTTGATCACCTACATGTAATGCAGCTGCATTTAGCAAGTGCACTCTAAAATGCATGACAGTAATCATAATAGTCACATGTAGACAAAAGTATACCTGAGTTATTTGATTACACTACCTGTCAACTATATATTCAATACCACCCGATCCTGAAATAGAAGTATCTTATTCATACTTGCCCCTTCTACCGACAGGGGGATTCAGACTGTTTTAGTCACAGATTGCTAGCTCAACTGTACTTTCAGTTTGTTTAAATACAGACAAGAGAGGAACCATTTCTCTTTAAAAAAAGAAGAAGACTTCTGCTGTAAAATCAATGGATTTTATTCCCAGGGAATTTGGCTGAACTACAATGCTGTTTAAATAAATCCTTGTTCCACAGGACATTTTTACTCCTAACATAAATAAGCACATCTGAAAAGATCTGTTTCCTTGACCAGATGCTTACCATATATTGTGACAACTTAGTCTTGTCAATGGAACGGCATCATCCAATGTCAGCTAGACAATCTTGCACAAATATTTGTTTACAAAATTTGTATCCCACCTTTCTGCCCTCACAAGGGCCACCAAGGCGGCTAACAATTTAAAACACACATGATGAAACCATTAAAATCAGCCCCCTGATACACATCCTTAAAAGGCAAGAGCTAAAATATATACAATTATAAAAACAGC